TTAAATAATGTCTGATTTTTTATTTTATGCAGTTTTGGTTGTGATTGACATTTCTGAAAATTTTAGTAGCAGCACAACACTTAAAAAATAAAATATTTGTTTAAATAATGTCTGATTTTTTTATTTTATGCAGTTTTGGTTGTGATTGACATTTCTGAAAGAAATAAGTACAGGATGGGACAAAGGGGTAGTAAACAAAAGGCAGACATCACTAGTCCACCAAAGCCAGAAAAAGACAAGAAAGTTAAGCGTAGGAAAAGCAAGAAAGATGCAGCTGCAAGCAATGGAGCAGTTGGATCTGAAGAAACACAGGTAATGTGTTAGTGGACTTTGGATAAACTTAGTCATATACAATATATCATTATACTTTAGAGAACTGTGGTGTTGTTTCCATATAATATTTAGCTATATATAACTATTACTTAGAATTTTGAATTTACATATGTTACATGGGTAAAAATGTTTTAGGAGATGAGTCACATATTATGCTTATCTCACTTAAGTATAAATAATTTTAGAATTATTAAACTTCAATAAAAGCACAAGTGAAATGTTAGTAATGGAGGTATAAAGTTTGAGAGAGTGGTTATTAGATCTTCACCTACATGATGGAAGCATGCTTAATGAAATAAGAACCAAATCAAGATGTTGGAGTTTTTATTTTATATATGTGTGTTTATATATTATGTTAGTAACATGTTTTATACCTAGGATGGCCTCTATTTACCAGATTAATACTAGTATTATTCAACTTCCAGATGTGGGAACATACATTTCACATACATTTCCTTTAAGAAACTACCAGTATCATGAAATTACTGATAAAATGTGTATCATTACAGGGACCATTTCTTATATTAATAATACATGCATTATTATATCCCCCTTTTCTTAAATGAAAATCAGATATGCAATTGCATGGAAATTATAAATAATAGGCTAAAATTTTTTTTTAACCCAGTTACCACACCTGAACTAGAAGTTATTATTAAATAAAATCAACCCATTGTATGTTTATGTCACCTTAAAGATTTACTTAAAAGTTTATAGTTTTAACACTGTTCATTTAAATTGTTTCTGTGAGTCTTTTCTGGTTTTTGTTTGTACATTTGGTGTTATCAGTCTTCTGTAACATATGAGGATTTTCTTGCATTTGTCCAGAAGTGTTATTAAAGTCTTGTTCTTTTGTCTATTACAGACTGTAAGTTATTTCTAATTTTGCTTTTTCAATCTCTCATTGTTTTACATAGTAGGTTTCATCTATTATGTTATGCCTTGTTTGAGTTCCACTCTGTTTTCACCAGGTAAGACCTCAGAGCCACTTTTTCCAGAACTCTAGCTTTTGCTTTCCAGTTTGAATTCTTATGATTCCATATTGAAACCATATTATCATGAAGAGATGGCAATCTGGCTATTTTAATTGTAATAATAATTCTGTTTTGCATCTTTCTTATTCATCTAGTTACAGTTTTCTTCTATTGTTTTTAATAGTGATTTTTCCATTGGTAGATTTGGTAGATATGACTTTAAACTTCTTCCATTAAACAGTAACTGAAAAGGTAAATAACTATTTACTGGTGACAGTCCTATGAGCTAAAATATCTTAAGTGTTTTTAACAATTTTACTGTTTTTTCTGCCAGTCCAATTGATTTTGAATACTTGATATCTTATGATGAAGTTCCTATTTCTTATCAAAAACTTTAAAATACAGACCATTGGAACTTGTGAAAGTAATCCATTTCTAGAGAAAATATACTTCATGGTTACTGCTTGACTTTGTTTTACTTGGTAATAAACTCACCTCTAGGAAGTTTGAATAAATGTCCTCATGTAAATTGTCATTTACCTGAAATTCAAGTATATTGGTGGCTACTTTTTGCCAATGTCTGTCGCATATAAGATAGGATGTTTTAACATTTCAGTTCAGTAATTATTTGTCTGATTCAATAGTTTACATAATCTTTTACAGTAATTAATATGTCTAGGCATAAGCATAACCTCTCTAGCTCTCATCTTGCTTTTGCCAAGGTGTCCTGTATGAATTTTAAGTAACATTTTAGCTCTTACTTTTGAATAATGACCCTGTCACCCTTGAGGAGGAGACCATCAATGATTGTAAGCTTATCTCTATAATTCCAGTAGTTACTGATTTTTGTTTGGCAATCCCTTCAAAATGATCTTTGTCAGTTCTTGCATGACTTGGTCCAATAGTGTTATACTTGTACTGAAGAAACTACAACTTCAATATAAGAATGTATCTCCTTTTTTGTGCCACTTGTCTCTTCCTTATGATACCAGAGAAGCAGTAAACATATGTTTTTCTGGAGTTTAAGTCAACTGAAAGTCATATTTCTGTAGTCTCTAGAAAATTTATTCTTGGTGGAGTGTCATTTAGAGGTTTTTAAAATATTGATACTAATGGCTTATGATTTGTTTTAATTTGAAAAAGTCCCATACACGAGCTATTGAAATTTTTCCAGTGCAGAACAGATACTGTATCTCAATTTGAGCATAATCACTCTCTGACTTTGCAAGAGCTCTCAAAACATATGATACTAGATAACAACAGTCATCCTCTTTTTGAAGTAACACAGCCTTTAATTCATTTTGACTGTCATGGCTTGCCATTTATTTTTTCATTCAAATCAACATATTTTGAGACTGGTCTAAAGGAAATTAAAGCTTTCAATCGTGAATGTTTTCACCTTCTTATGTGACCATAGTCCATCCACTTTCCAATCAAGAAGTTGTCGAGGTTCCTATTCTTGTTAACAAACCTGGTATATATTTGCCTGAATAGGACATCATACCAAAACATCTTTGAAGCTTCTTTTTTCGAGGATGGTTTAGGCACTTCCATAGTTGCCTGAATTTTCCTTTCATAGGGTTTTACTTCTTTATCAGTAGGTTTTTTTCCAGAAATGTAAGCTCAGTACTTTTGAGTAAACATTTATCGTTTTCTAATTTTAGTCTAGTAATTCTGCCTATTTCTGATATTGCCATTACTAAATCATGTTCTGTATCATGAAGCCATATACTATCTTGCCATAAAATTATCACAGTTATTACATTTTTCCTCTATAACTGAACATATAATATGATGTTTGTATCCACACTGCCCATATTTTGGCACATTTCTTTGTCCATTTTCGTGTGTTATTTTCTGGAGTCATCTACATTCTGTTTTCTTTCTTTTTTTCTTGTGATATTCTTCATGTGCTGTGAGAACATTGAATATATTTTAATGTATACCTAAATGTTTAAATTACTCTTGCTATTTGTATAGCTTCATCTAGATTCAAAGTGTCGCCTTCATGTAACATTCTCTTTTGAGACCTACTATGTAATAAACCTCCAACTAATCAACTTCTGCTCATCAAATCTTTTTATTGCCTGAAATCACAATGATTAGCTTTGTTCTTTAAATCTGTTAGAGACTTATCGACTGAATGACATGGCTTTTGCTTCATCTTGAAAAGATGCTCCTTTTCTACTATTATTTTCTTTTGAGGTATACGATAGGTGTGAAATTTTTTAATACTTTATACCATCTTGAATTTGTCTTCATTGTCCCCTTCTGTTTCGTACAAGATCCTTTACAAAACTAACAATAAAGTAAACATATATCATTTCAGAGAATTTCATGGACCATTCCATATATTAATATGTACATGTATTATTAGAATGTTAAGAACTATTATCCTTTAAATTGAGATATTTCTGCAACATTAAACATTTGAAAATCAGGTTTACCCGTGATTAGTTTATGTTGCTGTAGGAAATGTATCTTCCTACTCAAAATACTTATTTTGATTTTATTGTGACTGGCAACTGTTAACTATATAGCTGTCATTTGTAGATATCAGATGTAATTAGTGAAAATGTAAAGGTTATCATTCTAAAATAACACGTATTAACCACTGTAGAAGAAAGTAAATAATGTTTCTTAAGTTTTTGTTGTTCAATTAGCAATTACCTATCTGTAATTCTTTTGTTTGTAAGGTACAGGGTTAAAAGAAAAATGACAAGGACAAAATAAGAGATAAAAATAAGTACTATTTGAAGAAAAAAAACTTCACGAAACAATAAATTTATCCAGTGCAGTATGTCAGTCTACTCCAACTGTATAGCATTTACAGTTTTAGTAATGTGAGTTTAATTAAGGAAGTCATTTTAGAAGAAAAAATTAATATTTCTTGTTTGATTTCTCCATATGATCAGAAAGTTCCACTAAAATACTGAATGGTTATTAGGTTGCTGCAAAACATACAAGTTTGGGATACTCATTAGTTAACGTCATAAATTCTGATATAACTGTCTTCATAACCTAGGTTTGCTTTATGTGTATTAGCTCATTGAATTTTTTATTATTATTTATTAAAAACTTGCTGAAAAATAAACCTTGATGAATTCTTGGGGAAATGATTTCAATAGTTATTAATTATACATAAAGTATTTCTTAGATCAAACATAATAAGCTTTTTTGGGTCTAAAAACAAGGCGACTTGTAAACTAGCATTAGGCTTACATAAGTTCCAGGATGTGACTTGAGGACAATTTAAAATGGTGAATTTCCCTGTCTTTAGAACATCCTACTTCTGATAAGATATCTTACCTCCTCTCCCAAAATAGCTTTTCTTGACTAGCACTGCCCTCTATTGGCATAAATTTTCAATGCACATCACTAGCCTTCTGCTTCCCACTTCTGCATATCCACATGTAAAAGGTCATGCAGCATGTCTCTACCAATAGGAATGCAACACCACTCCTATAGTAACCAGTGCTCTCTTCACATCTGAACTTGTTAATCACTTCTTGATTGGCAGTACTACTGTACATATGTGCTGGTTTTTGCACATAGATTTGTTGACTTTTTCAGTTATACTACTGACTTAGTTTTTTTTTTACTTTTTATTTAAATTTCTTGTATTGGTATTGTGAAAGGTTGCTCTTTTTTTTCAAATTGTTCTTACTTTTTCAGGGGCCCTCTTTGCTTTTGTATTATGGATCCTACTCTGTGGCAAATGGAGCCTGACTAGGTATACTTTTGTTTTTGAAAATCTCCACTGTCCATCCTACATCCATGCTTGATGTCAATTACATTGTAGCCCTTCCTACTGTGGATCTGATGTACAATCCCAGTTATCACTGTAGGGCTGCTAGTAGTTGTCTCTCTAGTGGTTTTTTGCTTCATAAATATGTTTGTCCCAGACTGTACACTCATGGACTTACATGAATAAAGCAAACAGAAATTACTGTCCATCTCTGCTGCTCTGTGGTATTAAGTCTTCCTACCATGGACCTGATGTAC